AAATAATGACAGTTTCACTTCCTCCTGTTCAATTTAGATACCTTTTATTTTTTCTTCATGTTTAATTTCTGTGGCTAAGACTTCCAGTACCATATTCAATAAGAGTGGCAAAAGTGGGCATCCCTGTTTTGTTCCCATTCTTAAGGGGAATGCTTTTAGTTTTTGCCCATTGTGTATGATGTTGGCTGTTGGGTTTTTTTTTTTTTTTATCCTCACCAGAGGACATTTTTCCATTTTTTGTTCAGGTAGAGAGAGGAACAGAGAAACATCGATGTGAAAGGAACATATCGAGCAGCTGCCACCCGTACAACCGGGCCGGGGACAAACTGCAACCGAGGTACGCGCCCTTAGCGGGAACCGAACCCGGGTCTCTCAGGACCGCAGGCCGACTTTCTAACCGCTGAGCCAAACCGGCCAGGGCGGCTGTTGGTTTTTTATATATAGCTTTTATTATGTTGAGATATGATCCCTCTATTTCCACATTGCTGAATGTTTTTTATCAGAAATCGGTGCTGGATTTTGTCGAATGCCTTTTCAGTGTCTATTGATATGATCATATGGTTTTTATCTTTCATTTTGTTTATGTGGTGTATCATATATATTGATTTGCGTATATTGTATCATCCTTGCATGCCTGGGATGAATCCCACTTGATCATGATGAATATTTTTTTTGATATATTGCTGGATCTGATTTGCTAATATTTTGTTAAGGATCTTGGCATCTTTGTTCATCAGGGATATTGGCCTGTACTTTTCTTTCTTTGCAGTGTCTTTATCGGTTTTGAATGAGGCTTATGCTGGCCTCATAAATTGAGTTTGGAAGTATTCTGTCTTCTTGGATTTTTGGAATAGTTTGAGGAGAATGGTTGTTAATTCTACTTTGAATGTTCAGTAGAACTCCCCTGTGAAGCTGTCCGGGCCTGGGCTTTTGTTTGCTGGGAGTTTCTTAATTACATCTTCAATTTTCTTTGCTGTTATTGGTCTATTCATTTTCTATATCTTCCCATTTCATTTTTGGGAGACTGTATCTAGAAATTTGTCCATTTTGCCTAGATTGTCCAATTTGTTGGTGTATAATTTTTATAGTATATTTTGATGATCCTTTGTATTTCTGTGGTGTCAGTTGTTACTTCTGTTTCTTATTTTGTTTATTTGGTTTCTTTTTTTGTTTTTTATTTTATTTTATTTTTATTTTTTGGTGAGTCTGGCTAAAGGTTCATTGATTTTGTTTATCTTTTGAAAGAACCAGCTTTTTTTTTCATTTGTCTTTTGAATTTTTTTTTTTTTTTTGGTCTCTACGTCATTTATTTCTGCTCTGACCTTTACTATTTCCTTCCTCCTATGAGCTCTGAATTTTCTTTCTTTTTACTTTCTAGCTTTTTAAGTTGTAGGGTTAGAAAGTTGATTAAACATTTTTCTTGTTTTTTGAGGTAGGCCTGTAGTGGTATGATCTTCCCTCTCAGGACTGCTTTTGCTGTGTCCCATAGATCTTCTGTTTTTATGTGTTTGTTTGTATTGGTTTCCAAGAAGTTTTTAATTTCTTTGTTGATCTTGTTAGTAACCCATTCATTGTTTAATAACATACTAGTTATCCTCCAAGTGTCTGACTGTTTTTGTGTGTTTTTATTACAATTGCATTTTAGTTTCATGCCATTGTGATCTGAGAAGATGGTTGATATGATTTCAATCTTCGTGAATTTTAAGAGACTTGCTTTGTGTCCTATCATGTGGTCTATCTTTGAGAATGTCCCATGTGTGCTTAAGAAGAATGTACATTCTGCAGCTTTGGGGTGAAATGTTCTGTAAATATCAATGAGGTCCAACTGATCTAGTTCATCTTGTAAGGACTCTATGTCCTTGTCAAATTTTGTCGAGAAGATCTATTCAGTGGTGTCAGTGGAGTGTTAAAGTCACCCACTATAATTGTATTTCTATTGATCTCTCCCTTAAAGTTCTCCAGAAGTGTTTTAAAATAGTTTGGTGCTCCTGTATTTGGTGCATATATATTTACCAGGGTTATGTCCTCTTGTTGGATTGGTCCTAATATTATGTAGTGACCTTCTCTGACTCTTATTTGGTCTTCAGTTTCTTTTAATCTACTATTGAACCCTTCTAAGGTATTTTTCATAACAGCTATGTCATTTTTTATTTCTTCCTGATTTTTATGTATAGTTTCTACCTCTTTATGCATAGCTTCTACCTTTTTTGAAAAGCTGAAATAGTTCCCAGTGAGCTCTTCATAATTTTCATTAATTTGCTTGTAGTTCTCACCAAATTGTTTGAGCACTCTTAAAATCATTGCTTTGAATTATTTATCTGACAAGTTGCTTTCTTCCATTTCCTGTAGTTCCTTTTCTAGTGATTCCTCTTTTTCTTTCCTTTGGGTGTTGTTTCTTTGCTTCCCCATTTTAGCCATCTTGTAGCTCTAGACCCAGTGAGAGATGTTTGGATGTGCAGGCAGCTCACTGTATATCAAATAAGGCTACTTTGCCTCCCAGACTGTTCTGTTGTGTGTTGCCTTTAGCCTGCTGTGGATCCTGGAGGATTGATTACTGGAGATTGGTAGTGGTGAGTCCTGGTAGGTGCTGCTGCTGGATTGTGTGGGTCCCTCTGAGGTTGTGTTCCCCACTGGTTGCTGTTGCCATCTGCAGCTGTATTGCTCAGGGCCTGCTGGAGCCACACATTTGCCTGCACCATGGGCACCTGGGTTACACAGGCCCTACTGGATTCCTGGCTTTCCATTGATCTTGTGGGCAGGCGCATTGTACAGGCCTCATTGGAGCCCCCACTTTCCGCTGATTCCCTGGGGAGCTGGATGGCACAGTCCTTTCTGGAGACCCAGCTCCATGTTTATCTGATGGGCAGCTGGGTTGAACAGGTCTTTCTGGGGCCTCAGCTCCCTGCAGGTACCATGAAGAGCTGGATTGCACTGGCCCTTCTCGAGCTCGTCTCCTCATCACTCTTGTGGGCCACTGGTTCGCACAGGTCTGCCTGGAGCCCTGGCTCCCCACTACTCTTGTGAGCTACTGGGTCACACAGGTCCCTCTGGAGCCCCAGATTTGCACTGTTCTTGTGGGCCACTGGGTCACACAGGCCCCTATGGATCCCTGGCTCCCCACCGCTCTTGTGTGCAGCTATGTTGCTCAGGCTCCTATGAAGCCCCAGGTCCCACCACTGGCGGCTGGAGTGTGCTGCTGCCCAGTGGGCCTCAGCTTCTGCTCAGCCTTTGCTGTAGTTTTTGGAGATGGTTTTTGTTGCTGGTCTGTGCTTCTGTTGCCTGGGGACAGATGTCTGCACCCTGACCTCTGTTGTTGGGGGTATATCTTGACTCTGATTGGGCTGCTACCGTGGGGCATGGTGCTGGGCTCCTGGCCATTGGTGGCTTCCACAACAGGCTTCTTGAAAGCTCTGCTACTGTGCACAGGTCTGTGTTGACACAAGGTGTCCACTGGTTTGATGGTTCCAGGTGCACTGGTGGGCTCAGGTTGCTGGGCCTTAGCTGCTCCCACTGCCTCCTCCCTCAGAAGATCTAGGATCTTCCAAAATGTACAGGTACATGGTACAGGGAGAAGCGCCCTGAAGAGCTGCTTACCAAGTAGCTGGCTGCTCCCTGTCCGCAGCACAGGAACCTTCTGCTCCACATCTCTGCACTGCATGAGTCTGGTTGTCCAGCTTCACATCTACTCACACTCTCTCACGCACTCACCCTCCCTCCAGTCCTTCCCACTACTATGTAGTTATTTATTTCTTAGAAATTCTTTCTCTTTTCTGTGTCTAAAATATTTAGTGGGAATATAGGATAAAAATAGTACCTGTTTCTAAATCCTTCCATTTCCTACTTTATACTTAATAATATATTTATTTTTTATTTCTTCTGATAATGTCATTTGTATACATATGATATAGGGTTGGCAGATGTGATGCATTTAAGCAGCTTCTCTAACATTTTTTCTTTTTTTTTGGCAACACTCAGAACCTCCAGACTTATAATTACTAGATGCTGCTAAAGTACCCAACAAACATCTGTCTCTAACTCTGTTGAATAAATGTTTACATAATGAATCTCCAGTTGTGGTTTCTTTCAGTTCCCTTATTCTCCCTCAGCTGTCTCAATACCATTCCATGCTCCTGCTTCTCAAGAAGGTTCAGATGTACTGTCTGAATTCAAATAGCTCCCATGGAGCATTTCCTCTTTGTTTTATTCCTCTTCTAGAATACAAGTGTTTATTTTCACATACTTCATTTATTAGAATCTTGTGTGTCTGACTCCTGGTGTTTTTCCTTCATTCTACCCAAGAACTTTATATCAGATGGAAGCAGAGCCATGTTCTAAGAGTCCTCCATCTTTTCTTGTGTAGGGCTGACGCCTTGCATTTATGGAATATCTAGATATTAATAACATCAGACAAGGAGATGAAAATGGCACATGCCCTGACGGTCAATGATGATGAGTACTCTTAGCTGGGATGGGAATCTCAGTTGAACGATCATCCCTGTGTCTGGTCTCTACTTTGAATAACCACTGAGGTCAAACATACTTTATACTTAATATTAATTGTGTCATCTGTGTCCTTGTTATTCTTGTTCCAAGAGCTGCTATTTAACCTACTTTCTTCTTACATTATCTTAATATTTTCCTGGCTCTTACCTTACATAAACTGTGTTTACTATGAATATCTTATCATTATTATCCCTTATTAACATCAGGAAGCTATAGAAAATAGGTGCCAAAACTCTCTCAAAAAGATAAAACAGAAAGAAAAACATTAAATAAGCTTTGAATAAACTTGAATTGATGAAGCAATCCCATATTTAGTTTTAGATTTAGAAATCTTTATCTGTGAACTTCTTAGTTGGCAAATGAGAACTGTAACTGGAGACCTGGCTCATCAGCAAAATACTACTCACTAAACTTGCTAAACCTGTAAAATTTAAAGTAATTTTTGGTGACCCAAACCATCCGCGTAGAACTCTCTGAATGTATACCTGCGTATATACTCTTTGGGTAGGATAAATGATAATTCAGCTCCAGTATACTTTTCCAAGGTGGCATCTGGAATATGAGACTGAATCACTGCAGAGATCTTTTCAACATCACATCGTGGTTCTATCTCCATGACTATGTGATATGTAGCACCTGAGAGAAATCATTTAGAAGACCAAGTAAAGAAGTTTTGTACTTTTTCATGTTGTAAGACCAAAGTTGGCTCTCTGTGGCTCAGATTACCTAGGTGTACAAGGAAGGAGATTTTATTTTGACTCTAGGGAGGTTCACACCTAAAATTTCCAAATGTTGATCCAAAAACCAAGACACTAAATAAGTAAAAACTTCCTCTATATTTTAAATTATTTTCTTAGTTAAGAATAATAACAGTGTATATAAACAGATATAGTAGTGGTATGAAAAAAGGTCCTGTTTTTTGGCTACCTAGAATTTTTGACACTGTACTCTTAATAAATATTCATTTCTTATCGTTGGTTCATTTTGCATCAGGCATTAACACGGCCCTGGGGATACAGCAGTAAAAAAAGGAGATAAAAAGTCCTGCCCTCATAAGAGCTACTTTCTAGCCAAAGGGGACAAATAATAATAATACAGATAAATGAGTTAAAATATATGTTGTGTTAGAAAAAATAAAGCAGAGAAGAAAGGTATAAAATGTTGGAGGAAGGTTGTTAAATTTTAGAAATTATTTTTCATTAACAAACTTAAATAAATCAGAGAACTATTGTACTTAAGTAGTACATTGCCTATACAGAGAAATTATTTTCTGAAATTAAAGGAAAAAATCACAGCTTTTAAGTATATGCATTTCAAATGGTCATTGTATTTGCATTTATGTTTCTCATTAAGATTTAAAAAAAATTTTAAAAAAGCCCTGGCCAGGTAGCTCAGTTGGTTGGAGCTTCACCCCCATACACCAAGGTTTGATCCTCAGAAAGGGAACTTAGGAGAATCAAGCAACGAGTGTGTGGATGAGTGGAACAACAAATCAACACCCCGCCCCCTCCATCCCTCCACTCCTGTCCTTGTCTCTAAAAAACTCCATCAGTAAAAAGATTTTTAGAAAATAAATAATAGATCTTAAGCATAGATCTCTTAGCTGAGAATTGGATTTACTTACCTGACTTATAGTAGAGAAGACACTGTTATTCCATTTTACAAACAAGGCAACATACATCCAGAGAATGGCATGACATCCATTTTATACTAACTATAAGAACTAAAACTACTTTTGGTTTACTTTAAAAAGGATATGTAAATTGTTTTTTATTTCTCATAAATGATGACACAATAAACTTTTCCATTACCCTGTCCTCTTAAGACTCAGGTAAAGCATATTTAAACTAAAGCATCTATAAGAAGGAAACTGAATGTCCCAAAGTACTATACCTTTCAAAATATCTAGTTACATATTATATGTAGTATTTTATGAGTAATTCATAAAATTAGTAAGTAATATTAGAAGTGATTATAAATGACTTTTTAAATAAAAAGTTTAGCTGTTTAAAGATTGAGACCTCAATAAAAGAGATAATGAACTAGGAAATGGAGCTGATCAGATAAAATAAATAATTAGTCATATCAAAAATAGAAATCAAGATATAACACACACAGATGGAAGAAGACAGAAACTTGAGAGTAAATAAAAAAACTCTACAAGAACTACTTGACTTCATCAGAAAGAGTAATATAAGAATATTAAGTATATCAGAGGAGATGCAAGAAAGAGAAGGAAACAGAGAACCTATTCAAACAAATAGTGAACAAATACTTCCCAAATCTATGAAAGGAGCTAGATCCTCAAATATAAGAAACAAACAGAATACCTAATTATCTCAACCCAAGAAAGCTTCCTCCAAGACACATTATATTAAAACTGTCATCCAGCAACAGAGGCTTGGGAGCAGACATCCATGCACAGGCAACACAATCAGAGATCAGCAGCTGAGACCCATGCCCAAAAGTTTCAGCAAAGGCTGAGCAGGAGCTGAGCCCCACTAGGCAGCAGTGTTCCCCAGCTGCCAGTGGTGGGGCCTGGGGCTTCAACTTGGCCTGTGTAATCCTGCTGCCCAGGGATCAGGGAGGAGCCGGGGCTCCAGAGGAATCAGTGCAACCCTGCTGCCCACAACATTGGTGGGAAGCTGGGGCTCCAGAGGGGCCTGTGTGATCCAGCTCATTAAGAGATTGGTGAGAGCTGGGGCTCCAGCGAGGCCTATGTGACCCAGCTGCCCATGGGATCACTGGGGAGCCAGGGCTCCAGAGGGGTCTGTGCAATCCAACTGCCCACAGTGCTGGCAGGGCTCCAGCAGGGCCTGAGTGATACAGCTGTTGGTGGCATCAGCAACCAGCGGGGAACATAGCTTCCGAGAAGCCCATCTAATCCAGCTGCAGCACCTACCAGGACAGACCAATACCAGCCCCAGTAGTCAATCCTCCAGGACAGCAGGTAAGACACAACACACAACAGAACAGTCTGGGAGGCACAGCAACCTTATTTGATACACAGTGAGCTGCCTACACATCCCAACATCCCTCACCAGGTCTCGAGCTACAAGACAGCTAAAATGAGAAGACAAAGAAACAACACCCAAAGAAAAAAAAAAGGAGGAAAAACCACAAAAAGAACTACATGAAATGGAAGAAAGCAATATGTCAGATAAAAAATTTAAAGCAATGATTTTAAGGGTGCTCAAACAATTCATTGAGAACTACAGACAACTCAAAGAGAATTATAGAGAGCTCAGCAGGAACTATATCAGCTTAAAAAAAACATATACGCACAAATATGAGAGCACCAAAATATATTAAAAAAATTCTGGAGGGCTCGGGCTGGTTTGGCTCAGCGGTTGGAGCATCAGCGTGCAAACCAGAGAGTCTTGAGTTTGCTTTCTGCTGGGGCACATACCAAAAAGAAAAAAGAAAAAACAAAAAACTTCTAGAGGACTTCGAGAGAGAGAGAGATCAATAGCGATACAATCATAGTGGGTGACTTTAACACCCTGCTGACACCATTGGATAGATCTTATAGACAAAAAATTAACAAGGACATAAAGTCCTTAAATGACTAAGTAGATCAGTTGGAATGAATTGATATTTACAGAACATTTCACCCCAAAGTTGCAGAATTCTCAAGTGCCCACGGGACATTCTCAGTGATAGACCACAGTTAGATCACAAAATAAGTCTCTACAAATTCAAGAAGATTAAAATAATATCAAGCATCTTCTCAGACCACAATTGCATGAAATAGAACTTAATTACAACAAAAATATTTAAACACTTGGAGGCTTAATAGCATGTTATTAAACAATGAATGGGTTAACAACAAGATCAAGGAGGAAATTAAAAATTTCCTGGAAACCAATGAAAACCAACACACAACAACACAAAAATATATGGGACGCAGCAAAAGCAGTTTTGAGAGGGAATTTCATAGCACTACAGCCTACCTCAAGAAACAAGAAAGATTTCTAATAGACTATCTGACCTCACAACTTAAAGAATTAGAAAACAAACAAAAAGAAAACTCTAGAGCAAGTAGAAGGAAGGAAATAATAAAGATCAGCGCAGAAATAAACGACATACAGACAAAAAACAATTCAAAAAATTAATGAAACACAAAGCAGGTTCTTTGAAAAGATAAACAAGATGGACAAACCTGTAGCCAGACTCACCGAGAAACAAAAAGAGAGGACCCAAATAAACAAAAGAGGAGAAGTGACAACTGACACCGCAGAAATACAAAGAATCATCAAAACATACTATGAACAATTATATGCCAACAAATGGGACAATCTAGGCAAAATGGACAAATTTCTATTTGGAGACACAAAGTCTCCAAAAACTGAACTGAGAAAAGATAAAAAAAAGTTTGAACAGACCAATAACAGCAAAGGAAATTGAAGATGTATTTAAGAAACTCCCAGCAAATGAAGGCCAAGGCCCAGGTCCGGACAGCTTCACAGGGGAGTTTTACTGAACATTCAAAGAAGAATTAGCACCCATTCTCCACAAACTATTCCAAATAATTCCAGAGGAAGAAAGACTTCCAAACTCATTTTATGAGGCCAGAATAATTCTAATTGCAAAACTGGATAAAGACATTACAAAGAAAGAAAACTATAGGTCAATATCCCTCATGACATATATGCCAAAATTCTTAACAAAGTATTAGCAAATCAAATCCAGCATTACATTAAAAAAAATTATTCACCATGACCAAGTGGGACAATATTCGCAAATCAGTAAATGTGATACACCACATAAACAAAATGAAAGATAAAAATCATATGATCATATCAATAGATGCAGAAAAAATGTTTACAAAATCCAGCACCAATTTCTGATAAAAATGCTCAGCAATGTGGGAATAGAGGGATTACATCTCAAAATAATAAAGGTCATATATGAAAGACCTACAGCCAACATCATACTCAGGGGCAAAAACTATAAGCATTTCCCTTAAGAACAGGAACATGACAGGGATGCCCACTTTCACCACTCTTATTTAACATAGTACTGGAAGTCAGAACCACAGCAATCAGACATAAAAACAAACAAACAAACAAAACAATAAAGGGATCCAAATTGGAAAGGAGGAAGTGAAACTGTCATTATTAGCAGATGACATGATATTATACATAGAAAATCCTAAAGACTCCATCACCAATCTATGAGACTTCATAAATGAATTTGGCAAAGTAGCAGGACACAAAATTAATGTCAAGAAATCGACGGCATTCTTATACAACAATGATGAACTCACAGAAAAAGAAACTAAAAATAATCCAACTTACCATTGCAGCAAAAACAATTAAGATACCTAAAAATAAACTTAACCAAATAAGTAAGTGACTTATTCACAGAAAACTACAGGTCATTGAAAAAGAAAATGTAGGAAAATATAAAAAAGTTGAAGCATATGCCATGTTCATCGACTGGAAGAATTAACATCATTAAAATGTCTATACTACCCAATTCAATCTGTAGATTCAATGCAATACCCATCAAATTACCAATGTCATATTTCACAGAACTAGAATAAATACTCCAAAAGTTTATATAAAACCAAAAAAGACCTCGAATAGTCACAGCAATCTTGTAAAAGAACAAAGTAAGAGGGATTATAATATCAGATATCAGGTTGTATTAAAAAGCCACTGTAATCAAAACAACCTGGTACTAGCACAAGAGCAGCAGATAGATCAATAGAACAGAGAACCCAGAAATTGACTCAAGACAATATGCTCAATTAATATTTGACAAAGGTGGCAAAAGCATATGGCGGAGTAAAGACAGCCTCTTCAATAAATGGTGTTGGAAAAATTGGACAGCTACATGCAAAAAAATAAAGTTAGACCACCAACTTACACCAAAAATGAGAATAAACTCAAAATGGATAAAAGACTTAAATGTGACTCATGAATCCATAAAAATCCTAGAAGAAAATGCAGGCAACAAAATTTCAGACATCACAATCAGTAGGATTTTCACTGATACAATGCCTAAATCAAGAGAAACAAAGAAAAAAGTAAATACATGGGACTACATCAAACTAAAAAGCTTCTGCACAGCAAAATAAACAAGCATGAAAATGGAAAGGGAGCCCACTACATGGGAAAGCGTAATTGCCAATAATACATTAGATAAGAGATTAGTTTCCAAAATATATAGAGTACTCACACAATTCAACAAAAAGAAGACAAAGAACCCAATTAAAAAATGGGCAGAGGACCTAAATAGCCACCTCTTCTAACAGGACATACAAATGGCCAAGAGACATATGAAAAAATGCTGTCACTAATCATCAGAGAGATGCAAATTAAAATCACCTCATACCTGCCAGAAGGCTGCTGTCAACAAATCATCAAACAACAAGTGCTGGTGAAGGTGTGGAGAAAAGGGGACTGTAGTACTCTATTGGTGGGAATGCAGACTGATGCAGCCACTATGGGAAACAATACAGTGTTTCCTCAAAAAATTCGAAATTGATCTGCCATTTGACCTAGTGATCCCACTTCTAGTAATATACTTTAAGAAGCCTGAGACACCAATCAGAAAGAACATATGTACCTCTATGTTCATAGCAGCACTATCTACAACAGCTAAGACCTGGAAACAGCCCAAGTGTCCATTAAATAAACGAGTGGATAAAAAGCTGTGGTACATATATACAATGGAATACTATGCAGCTGTAAGAAAGATCTCTTATCCTTTGAGATGACATCCAGGGGCCTCGAGAATAGTATCTTAAGCAAAACATGCCAATCAGAGAAAGACAAATATCACATGATCTCACTTAGTTGTGAAATACAGTGAACAAAACAAGCTGAGAAACAAAATAGACCCAGAAACATGAGGTGCAGACTGACGAACCTTAGAAGATGTGGATATGGGGGAAGCGACAAGATTATCCACAGGTGTTATATGCATGTATGCGTAAATGAGGACATGCTGTGGTGGGGCGGAATTGGGGGAGATGGTGAGGAGGGTATAAATGGGGGAAAAAGAAGACACATTTCTAACAAAAATAAATACATAAACATTAAAAAAAGACAAGTATCACATGGTCTCACTTATTTGTGGGATATAATGAACAAAACAAGGTGATTAATAAAGAGACCCAGAGACATGGAAATAGAGTTCAGACTGACAAACTTCAGAGGACTGTGTTGGGGGAGGGGGAGGAAGAGATAAACTAAAGAACTTGTGCATATAAGCATAACCAATGGACATAGACAACAATGCTGGGTTGTGGGGAGGTTGGGAATGGAAGGTGTATGTCAATAGGGGAAAAAGAAGAAACAGTTTTAATAAAAATAAATTAATTAAAGAAAAAAATAAGTATAGAGTTAATATATGAACCATTCATCTATCTTCTGGTTATTTGAAAAATATGAAAACTTTTATTTGTAAAAATATGTATGTACACCTTTGTTCATTGCAGAACTATTCATGTGCCCAAGATACAGAAACAACTGAAGTGTCCTCTGATAGATTTAATAAAGAAGATATGGTATATATATATAAGATGAAATACTATTCTGCCAAAAGAAAATACATTTTCCACAGTATTGATGGATCTTGAGAATATCATGCTAAATAAAATATCAGATGGAAAAAGAACCATAAGATTTTTCTCATATGTGGAATATAAAACTGGAAGCAACAAACAAACAGATAAACAAACAAACAAAAACTCATAGACACAGAAATTAGCACGGTGATTCATAAAGGGAAAGGTGGTGGGGAGGTAGTATGGGGTGATATGGAGTGGGGGTAAAATATATGGTGATAAAAAGAGATTTGAGTTTTGGTGGCAGACACACAACACCATATACGATGATGTATCATAGAATTGTATGCTTGATACCTATATAACTTTATTAACTGATGTTACTCTAATAAATTTAATAAAAAAGCTTACATATTTAATTTATGTGGCTCATAACCCAGGTGCATTCAATTCAGATGCATTAGATCTAATTTCAAATGTAGAACCCCTTTTGAATTAATTGTAAAAACTGAAACCTGTAAGGTGATAATAAACTTTAAAGAACTAAATGGGTATATAAATATAACTAAGATATATTTTTTGATATATTTGGGCCCTAGATTAGTATTCTATGAAGTGGAACTGTTGTTTTGAATATTAAATATGATGTCTAAAGTGAATACAACAGTACCTAGTACAAAGAAAATAATTAATGTGAGTTTAATAAATTCAAATACTGAATAAATGATGAAGATATTCATCCTCAATTATGTTTATTTACATTTATACCCTCCAATTTTGGATTTCAATTACTATTAATTTTAGCCCCCAATAATTCACTGGTATATCAGTTTTACCTCCTAAAAAAACTGTATACTTATCAAAGTCATATGTTGCTTTATTTCACGTATGTGATTTTGTCATTCTACACTACATTTTTATGGTCAATTAGTATATTTGTGTATCTGAGACAACTTAGCAAACAAAAACTAGGAACAGAGGTCACTGATTTTTCTACTTTCTCTCATCAACCAATCAATTACTCAATAAAATAAATTTGTTTGGAGGTAAACCTGCATTCTAGACAAAGAAAGACAAAGACAAAGACAAAGAAAACTGTCAGTAGGTTCTAGATGGAAGAAATAAGCATGGTCTTTGTAGGTTAAGAAAAGTACTTTTTGCCCTGCCCAGTTTGGCTTAGCAGTGAGAGCACTGGCCTGAGGACTAAAGGTTGAGGATTCAATTTCAGGTCAAGGGCACATATCTGGGCTGCAGGTTCAATCCCTGGCTCTGGTCGAGGTCATGTGGGAGGCGACCAATTGATGTGTCTCTCTCATACCAACACTTCTCTCTCTCCTTCTCTCCCTCCTTCCCTTTTACTCTGTAAAAATCAATGGAAAAATATTCTCAGGTGAGGATTAACAAATAAACAAATAAAAAAAATTAATTCCTGAGTCTGAAAGTATGGGGTGAAGAACAATAAATAAGTATATACAGTGTTAGGCAAGAGTAGATTTACAGATGTTTGTAGGAAAATAATACAATAATTATTAGTACAATAATTAATAATACAAGAATAAACTCTGTGTTTTGTGTACTTACAAAAGTAAATCTACTTTTGCCCCACCCTGTATATGTACTATCCAGATTGTAAAGGGCCTTAAAAACCAATTAGAATAATTGATACCTATCCTGCTTAGTGGTGGCCAGTTCAATAATTCATCATTTTATTGGCTCTCCCTCCTTCCCTGTTTTACTTTCAGATAGACTACCCACAGATAAATATTCCTATCAGGCTGTGCTTTAGAGAGAACCCAGATTAAGGCACTCAGGAACCTAAAAAAATATCACATGGGGCCTTAGCTAGGTAGCTCAGTTGGTTAGAGCATCATCACAATATATCAAGGTTGAGGGTTTGATCTCTAGTCAGGGGACATAAAAGAATCAACCAATGAACACATCAGTAAATGGAATAACAATGACAACAACAACATAAATAAGGTGCAATGGCAAAAACAAAACAAAACAAAAAAACAATTGAGACCTAATTAATAGAGAAAAATAGATAAAATATAATTAAAATCATGTTAGAAGAGTATTACTAAGGCATTAACATCCTAAGAATGATCAAAGAGATAGACCATATATTTGTTTCAGGAAAACTGAAGAGCCACAGCATCGCAGAGTTCCCTTCACTATGATGGCTATGCGGTCACCCAGTATGTCAGCTTCATCTATGCAGCTGGTGGTCAGTAAGATGGTACGATTGTGTTTATACTTTTGAAGGAGATCCCAGGTGGTTCTTTTTGAGATGGGGTCCAAGCCAGCTGTGGGGTTATCAAGTATCACCACCTAGAGATCAGAAGAACAATTCCATAACCATTGATAATTGATGCCAAACTACTTGTGGGATAATTTATTATTTGAGGGGAACATATTTCAACTAAGATACAAAATCTTGACTAATAATAGTGGTAAAAAGTATAAAAAAATAATCTCAAACCATATTATAACAGCTGACCCAATAATGCAAACTCCCTTATTATCATTGGCAACATTTCCTTAAGATTCATACAACTCTCAGGTTTGTGCCAGTGAAGTTTTCTGAACCAGCTGGCAGAAACCCATTTTTAGTGTATGAGTGTGTGCATACCCCTCCCTCTCACCTCCTCTTTGTTCTCGATTTTTTCTCTAATACCTTAGGGTTTCCTATAAGAGCTATCATAATGGCGAGTTTGCGTTTCATTCCTGTAGTCAGTGACTTTGAAATTGTATCACGCTTTTCTAGAAGGTTAAAAGTAGATAGCATATGGTCAACTTCCATATGGTACATCTTTTGACATTTTCTTTTTGCCTAGAAAGATAAGTCAAATTTACATGATGCATCCCAACTTTATCCTCAAAAAGTTCTTAGATCATAACATATATTTACAAGGGTTGGCAAAAGTAGGTTTATAGTTGTCTGTAAAAAACAGAGTTTATTCTTTTATTATTATTTATTATTGCATTATTTATTTGTATTACCACTGTAAACTTATTCCACCTACACATATAAAGATTTTGCAATTACATCCTTAAAGCATTTTACACCAGCTCTATTCTTACATCAACTACATAGTATCTTTTTTAAAAAACTCATTTTTTTCCTCTATTGATGTTAGAGAGAGAGGAAGGGAGAGGGAGAGAGAAACAGAAACATCGATGAGAGACGACATCAATTGGCTACCTCCTGTATGCCTCCCACTGGGTATCGGGCTCACAACCTAAGCATGTGTCCTGACTAGGAATAGAACCAGCGACCTCTTGGTGCATGGGTTGACGCTCACCCACTGAGCCACACCAGCTGGACCATAGTATCTATTTTCCCATTGCCTCCCTTTATGTTAAAGGAAAGTTCCAAAATTAATATTTAGAATTTATAAAGACACCTGAAACTCATTAACAAAGGGAAAAAATAAACATATCTCTAGCTTTCATGTTTGACAGAGTAAACACACATATCCCTTTCTCTCCCATAGAACTTAATGATTAAACCTGATTCCTATAAAGTGTAAACATCAACAGTTAAATCAGAAAGAATATCAGAACCAGAACTTGAAATACCACTGAACTGGAATTGCATTTAACATTTTTCCCTTGTGTATTCCCTAGCCTGAACTCAAAGCAATCCAAAGACTGGAAGTGCAATGTAGTGCAAATAGAATGAGGTTAAGGATAAACCCTCTAGTTCTGGTTTGAGGAGTGGAAAATGGAAAACTCCTAAAGCTCTGAGGGACTGTGGGAGGCCCAATCCCATTTTTGCCTCTGCTCTTTTGTGGCCCAGACCATAGGAAGTCTTGAGGGAGGAGTGGTTGCGAGAGTAGAAAAAAATGGGAATCCTCCATGAGCCAAAGTGCTGAGGAAGGTGAACCTTCTCAGTTTAGTGGAGCCAAGGCTCCAAGAGGACAGGGCCAAACCCTGCTTTTTACCACACTTTCTGCCACTTGGCTGTGACACAATTATAAAAGTCAGTAATTTCTGGTTATGGGGGGGAGGACTGAAAAAGAAATTTGAGAGAACCAGCACATTATGGGGAAGTAACAGGAGAGAAGAGCAGAAAAGTAACATGTTTATGTTAAGTAAAGTTGTTTATGAACTCATGTGTTTACCCTGTCATTTCATGCATGGATATAATCCTAGTTAGAATACCAAACTTTAAAAATTATACTAATGAGTAAACTTCTATACTGGTGTGAAGTGACTAGTGGGTAACATAGGTTGATACGGAAAAAACACTGCAAAAATTTTGAACTGACATGGGAACCATAGCCCACAGATAAAACATAAACAATTTGCAGAGTATCATGCGGTATTGTTAAAAACATCCAGGATAAGCTTTTGCTGAGTTGCTGCCATGCAGGACGATGGCCATCTTGCTCCTTCCCAGGGCTCTGGGGAGAGGCAGCAGCCCCTCCTCAGAGATCCAACCCCACCCTGTGGGCCATTGAAATGCTAATTGAGGCTCATTAACAATCAGCATCTACCCGGCCCTTGGGAAATGCCCTTATACTGAGCACCTGAGGGAGTTTTTCAATCAACTAACAACCCAAAACTCTTCAAGTAACCTTGACTGCTAGCCTCCAGGCAAAAAGCTAGAGGATAACAGTACCTTTCCTGGGCTAGCAACTTTAACCAGGAAAGTAAGACTTGACAGTGGTGTTTAACGTGGGTCCTCTCTCGCTCATCTAAACCCAGGAGAGGGAGACACAAACAGCAGAACACCAACACCTACAGGGAAAATTTGGCAGGCTCCAAAGACCATTGTGATAGCCAAAATGGTGAAACACAGAAACAAAAGCCAAATGAAAGAACAAGTGACCTCCACCAAAGATGAGATCAATGTGGAGCAGTTAGGCACATTAACAGATCTAGAATTCAGAGCCATGACCTTGAGGAAGCTCAACAGCATGAGTTAAGACATATAGATGCTGAAAATAAACCAATTGGAAATTAAAAACCACCAAGAAGAGATAAAAAATGACGTATCAGAAATGAAAAACACATTGGAAAGAATAAAAAGCAGAGTAGAGAAAGCTGAGGACCGCATCAGTGATTATAAGACAGGGTAGAAAAAAAATCACCCAATCACAACCAAAGAAAAAAATGATTAAATAAAAGGAAGAGAGCTTAAGAGAACTGTGGGACAACTGGAAACGGAATAATATTCGCATCATAGGAGTCCCAGAAGGAGTAGAAAATGAGCAAGGGTTAGAGAATATATTCAAAGAAATAGTGACAGAAAACTTTCCTAATTTGGTGAGGAAAGAAGGCATTCAAGTTCAAGAAGCACAGAGAGCCCCAAGTAAGAAGAACCCAAACAGGCCCAAACCAAGACACATAGTAATCAAACTGCCAAAAATTAAAGACAAAGAGAGAAACCTAAAAGCAGCGAGATAAGCAACAGGTTACCTACAAAGGAAACTCTATAAGGCTCTCTGCTGATTTCTCACAAGAAACACTACAGGCCAAAAGGGAATGGCATGAAGTAATCAAGGTCATGAAAAACAAGGATCTGAATCCAAGACTGCTCTACCCAGCAAGGCTATCATTCAAAATGGAAGGTCAAATAAAGAGCTTCCCAGACAAAAAAAGGCTAAGGGAATACATTAGCACCAAACCAGCACTGCAAGAAATGTTAAAAGGACTGTGGTAATTGGCAGGAGAAATGGGAAGAAAAATAGAACCACACTAAACAAAAATGTCAATAAACAAGTACATATTAATAATCACCTTAAATGTAAATGGATTGAATGCTCCCATAAAAAGACAGAGAGTAGCTGATTGGATAAGAAAGCATGACTCATCTATATGTTGTTTACAAGAGACCCACCTCACAACAAAAGACTCACATAAATTGAAAGTGAAGGGATGGAAAAAAATCTTCCAAGCAAATAGAAAGGAAAAAAAAAACTGGGGTAGCAATACTCATATCTGATAAAATAGACTTGAAAATGGAGGCCATAACTGGAGACAAAGAAGGCCACTACATAATACTGAAAGGATCTATGCAACAGGAAGATATAACCTTGATAAACATATATTCACCTAATATAGGAGCACCAAAATATATTAAAAATCTTCTGGATTACTTCAAAGGAGAAATCGATAGCATTACAATCATAGCAGGGGACTTGAACACCCCTCTGACATCGCTGGATAGATCCTCTAGACAAAAATTAGCAAAAAAAACCCAACAAAACAGAGAGTCTTAATGAAACACTAGACCAAATGGATTTAATAGATAACTACAGAGAATTACACCCCAAAACTGCAGAATTCACATTCTTCTCAAGTGCACATGGGACATTCTCAAAGATGGACCACATGTCAGAGCACAAACTACAACTTCAAGAAGACTGAAATCATATCACACATCTTCTCAGATCACAATGGAATGAAACTAGAAATCAATTGCAAGAAGAACATACCATGTCATTTGAACACATGGAAGCTAAATAGCATGTTATTAAACAATGAATGGGTCACTGAGGAGATCAAGGAAGAAATCAAAAACTTCCTGGAAACAAATGAAAATGAAGACACAACAGCACAAAATCTATGGGATGCAGTGAAAGCAATTCTGAGAGGAAATTTCATAGCACTACAGGCCTACCTCAAAAAACAAGAAAAATCTCTAATAGAATATCTAACCTCACATCCTAAAGAACTAGAGAGCAAACAAAAAGAAAACCTCAGAGCAAGTAGAAGGAAGGAAATAGTAAAGATCAGAGCAGAAATAAATGACATAGAGACCAAAAAAAACAATTCAAAGGATCAATGCAATAAAGAGCAGGTTGTTCGAAAAGATAAACAAGATTGATTGACCCTTAGCTAGACTCAAAAGAAACAAAGAGAGAGAACCCAAATACACAAAATCAGAAATGAAAGAGGAGAGGTAACAACTAACACCACAGAAATACAAAAGACTGTTAACTACTATGAACAATTATATAGCAACAAATTCGACAATCTAAGCGAAATGGACAAATTTCTAGAAACACATAGTCTCCCAATACTGGACCACGAAGAGATAGATAACTTGAAGAGACCAAAATCAACAGAAGAACCAAAGATGTAATCAAGACTCTCCCAGCAAGCAAAAGCCCAGGCTCGATGGCTTCACGGGGAAGTTTTACCGAACATTCAAAGAAGAACTAACACCCATTCTCCTCAAACTATTTCAAAAAATTCAAGAAGAAGAAAGACTTCCAAACTCGTTTTATGAAGCCAGCATAATTCTAATTCCAAAACCAGAAAAAGACACTACAAAGAAAGAAAACTACAGGCCAATATCCCTGATGAACATAGATGCCAAAATCCTGAACAAAATCTAGCAAATCGGATCCAGCAATACACCAAAAAAATTATTCACCATGACCAAGTGGGATTCATCCCTGGGATGGAAGGTTGGTACAATATTTGCAAATCAATAAATGTGATACACCACATAAATAAAATGAAGAATAAAAACCACGTGATCATATCAATAGATGCTGAAAAAACCTTCCACAAAATCCAGCACCCATTTCTGATAAAAACGCTCAGCCATGTGGGAATAGAGGGATCATATCTAGACATAATAAAGGCCATATATGAAAGACCTCAGCCAACATCATACTCAATGGGCAAAAACTAAAAGCATTTCCCTTAAGAACAGGAACAAGGCAAGGATGCCCACTTTTGCCACTCTTATTTGTCATAGTACTGGAAGTCTTAGCCACAGAAATCAGACAGGAAGAAAAAATAAAAGGGATCCAAATTGGAAAGGAGGAAGTGAAACTGTCATTATTTGCAGATGACATGATTCTATAAATAGAAAACCCCAAAGACTCCATCAAAAATTTACTAGACTTAATAAATGAATTTGGCAAAGTAGCAGGATACAAAATTAACGTCAGGAAATTGATGGCATTCTTATACACCAAGGATGAACTCACAGAAAGAGAAACTAAGAAAACAATCCCATTTACCATTGCGGCAAGAAAATTAAGATACCTAAGAATAAACTTAACCAAAGAAGTAAAGAACCTCTTCACAGAAAACTAAAGATCACTTAAAAAAGAAAGAGGAAGATATAAAATAGTGGAAGCATATACCTTGTTCATGGATTGGAAAAATTAACATAATTAAAATGTCCATACTACCCAAAGTGATCTATAGATTCAATGCAATCCCCATCAAACTACCAACGACATACTTCACACAACTAGAACAAACACTCCAAAAGTTTATATGGAACCAAAAAGACCAGGAATAGCCACAGTGATCTTGAAGAAGAAGACCCAAACCGAAGGGATCACATTACCAGATTTCAGGTTATACTACAAAGCCACTGTAATCAAAACAGCCTGATACTGGCACAAGAACAGGCAGATACATCAATGGAACAGAACAGAGAACCCAGAAACTGACCGGAGACAATATGCTCAATTAATATTTGACAGAGTTTGCAAGAACATACAGTGGCATCAAGACAGTCTCTTCAATAAATGGTGTTGAAAAATTTAGACAGCTACTTGCAAAAAAATGAAGCTGGACCACCAACTTACACCATACATGAGAATAAACTCAAAATGGATAAAATACTTAAATGTAACTTGTGAATCCATAAAAATTCTAAAAGAAAAGGCAGCCAACAAAATTTCATACACAGCAGAAGTTTCACTGATACAACACCTAAGACAAGAGAAACAGAGAAAAAAATGAATACATGGGACTGCATCAAACTAAAAAGCTTCTGCACAGCAAAAGAAATGAGCACCAAAACAAAAAGGGATCTCAATATATAGGAGACCATAATCACCAATGATGCATCAGATAAGAAGTTAATTTCCAAAATAAATAGAGTGTTCTTACAACTCAACGAAAAGAAGACAAAGGACCCAATTAAAAAATGGGCAGAGGACCTAAATAGACACCACTCCAAAAAGGACATACTAATGCCCAAAACATATGAAGGAATGCTCAATGTCACTAATCATCAGAGAGATGGACATTAAAACAACTATGAGGTATCACCTCACACCTGTCAGAATGGCTGCCATCAACAAATCATCAAACAACAAATGTTGGCGAGGGTGTAGAGAAAACGGGACTCTAGTACACTGCTGGTGGGAATGCAGACTGGTGCAGCCACTATGGAAAACACTATGGTGTTACCTCTAGAAGTTAAAAATTGATCCCACTTCTAGGAATATACCCTAAGAAACCTGAAACACCAATCAGACAGAAAGTATTTCTCCTATGTTCATAGCAGCACTATTTACAATTGCTAAGATCTGAAAACAACCCAAGTGTTCATCAGTAGATGAGTGGATAGAAAGCTGTGGTATATGTACAGAATGGAACACTATGCAGCTGTAAGAAAGAAAGATCTCTTATCATTTGAGATAGCATGGAAGGACCTTGAGAGTATTATCCTAAGTAAAACAAGCCAAGCAGAGAAAGACAAATATCACATGATCTCATCTATTTGTGGAATATAATGAACTAAACAAACTGATGAACAAAATTGACCCAGAGACATAGAGATGGGGTACAGACTGACAATCCCCAGAGATGGGGGATTGGAGGGGAAGAGATAAACCACAGAACTTTTATGCATGTATGCATGACCAATGGACATAGACAACAAAGCTGGGTATGGGGCAGGGTGGATGGGGAGGAGGGTGTCAATGGGGGAAAAAGGAGAAATATCTGTAACAAAAACAAATTAATAAAAAAAAATTTTAAATTTAATAAGAAATGAACAATCCAAACTAAAATAATGGACACAGGACCTCAACATGTATTTCATGAAAGAGGGTATAAAAATGGAAAATAAGCACATGAAAGTTGAACAACATCATTATACATTCATGAAATGCAGGTTAAAACAAATATTAGACACCATTACCCATAGATTAGAATAGTTAAAAAAACGTAAAAGTGTTAACAATACCATATTTTGGCAAAGACATATAGTAAGTATAATTTTCATATATTGCTGGTGGGAGTGCTGAATGATACCACCACTATGAAAAACTGTTTGACAGTTTCTGATAAAATTAAACAATTAGAATATAGTAAATACTCTGAGAGACATGAAACATATTTAAAAGCTGTACATAAAATTGAGTTGTATTTATACTTACCAAAGCCTAGAAACAACCCAAATGTCCTTTAATTGGTGCATTGTATTACTTCCAAACATGAAATACTACTAAGCAGTTGAAAGAAATATGCAGCACATATGGATCTTAAAGATACTCTGCTCGGAATAAGTAGCTAATTTCTAAAGATTATATATGATATGATTCCATTTATATGACTTCTAACAAGACAAAACAATAGTGATGAAAGATACCAGTGATTACTAGGGGTACAGTGATGACTACAAAGAAATAGAGTGAGGGATTGTTTTAGGGTGATAAAACTGTTCTGTATCTTGGTCATGGCATTGGTTAAATGTGTTAAAATTCATGGATCTTAATATAAAAAATTAAATTTACTGTATAATTTAAAAAATTCTGACTTACCATAAAGTAGAAATAAAGGTGTTCTGATAGTGTCAAATCATTAAACAATATGTCACACTGTGAGCAGAAGCCCAAGTTTTTCCGAATATCAATTATATTTTTTGAGAGGGCGTACCCATTAATATAGGCCTCTCCTCTGGTTGGAGGATAGCAACCTACAAGTAAAAAGAAAACATGACAGAAGCTGAGTTTTGGTGAGCAAACATGATAAAACAATGTGAATTAGCACCTCAAATTCAGTTTATTTATGGATTACTAAAAAAAATGAACACTATCTATTACACAAAAACAATTTATTAAACTATCTAGTTATAGCTAGGTAGTAGAATTAGCTATCTTTAAATTTTCTTTTTCTCTTTGCTAATATATACTAATTTGTGGCAGTCAATATGGATTATATTGGTATTAAAACTATTCAAATATTTTGCTATATTCCAATATATTTGTATTGAAACCAGTTAGTTCCTATATTTGTGAACCATATTAGGTACTGTGTAAATTCTATAAAAAACATAAAGATCTAGAATATAAAATTTTTGTCCTTAAGAAATTTAAATATTAATAATGAGTTAAGATTTTGTGGGAAACTATTTTTAAGATGTAAAAAAGAAATTATATAATTATTTAAACCCTATAAATTATTTATTCCATTTAAAAATGTATCCTTTTTAAAATTGAGATATAGTTGACATATAACATTAAACTAGTTTTGGTATACAACAATGATTAGGAATATATACATACTTTTAGATGATCACCACAATTAGTATAACTAACATCCATCACCATACATAGTCACAAATGTTTTTTCTTGTGATGAAAACTTTAAAGATTTCATCTTTTAGCAACTTTCAAATATACAATACAGTATTATTAACTATAGTCATCATGCTGTATGTTACAGCACCATAACTTATAAGGCTGTACCTTTGATCCCCTTCACCCATTTAGCACACCCCTTATTCCCTGCTTCTGGCAACCACCAATTTTGCTCTCTTTATGAATTCAATTTTTAAGAAAAAGATATTCTCTCTCTCTCTCTCTCTCTATATATATATATATATATATATGATATGGTATTTGTCTTTGTCAGATTTATTTTGCTTAGCATAATACCCTCAAAATCCATCCATGCTGACATAAATAGCATAATTGTCTTCCTTTCTTAATGGCTGAATTATATACTTATATAATATATAAATGTATATGTGTATGTATTTATGTGTATATCATATATCTACTTTATTCATTCATTCATCTGTGAGAACTTGCATTTCTAACATATTCCAAGGCCATGTTGATGGTCAGAGGACCACTTTGAGAACCACTGAGTTCAGGTAAAGGTTACACTGCTATATAAAAGAAACTAAAAGCAGACAAATTTTGTACACAGGATAATCCAAAGGAGAACAATCCAGGTTTGTAGGAAGATCAAATCCACATTTTCTTTATCCATTCATCCAGCAAATGACACTTAGATTGCTTCCATGTCTTGGCTATTGTAAATAGTGCTGCAACAAAAGAAATAAATACAACTCAAGATGGAAGATGGTAGCTGTAGTCACCTTCTACCATGACTGCACCTAAATTACAGAACAGTGATTTTCAACCTTTGCATCTCATGTTATACATAAACTAATTACTAAAATTCTGCAGTATACCAAAAAATACACATTTTGCTGATATGACAAAATATAGGTATAATTTTGATTCATGTATCTGGACAGCTATGGTTGTTGTCACTTTTTATTTGACACTCTCAGGGAAATTAGGTCAGTGCCCCTGATTGAATAGGTATTACATGTCTTAAAATTTTTTTGTGGAACACAGTGTACCTGTCACAGCACATTAGTTGAAAATTATAGTTATAGAACAATTAACCTGGAGAATCATCTGAAGACTAGCTTAACATAAGTCTTATAACGAGGGATATAAAGAAGAAGTCACATGAAGACTGGTAGAAAGGGCAGAGGCACAAAATGAGTTTGCCCTACACCCATGTGTAGTGGTTGATAATCCAGAGGGATATCTGAGCAACAGAGGTTCCCCCTGGAGCAGAGTTCTCAGCCCCAAGCCAGGCTCCTAGCCCAGAACACCAGTGCTAAACAGAGGAGCCCATATAATATCTGGCTTTAAAAAGTAGCAGGGATTCCTTTCATCTCAGTGAAACTGAAAGGTGCTGGATATTTAGGCATCCTCTTAAAGGACCTACACACAAACTCTCATTCGCAGGCACTCACCATGGGCTGCACTAGAGGGACAGCAGTTTGGAAAAGGGGTGCCAAAGACATACAGGAAGAAACTGAGTTGTGTGACTTTGGGGCAAGGGCTGGAGGGACAGTGTAATTGTTCCTGTGGTGAGCCTTTCTTCTACACTGCAGATGGGCACCATCTTTCTTGTGTCAAGAACTCACCCTGACATGGCCAAATCTAATATTCATTAGCCTGGTGAACTCTGCTAGCTCCACCTTGATGATCTCTGAGACCCCAACCCACCCAGTTTGTCCATGGCTCAAGACTCTTTTGGCACCAACCAGCCTGAGCCCACACTGCAGTCTTTCTTTAAAAACGCTCAAGAAATTCCAGTCAAGCTTGGGGGGGGGGGTGCCAGAGACATGCAGGGAGAGGTTAAATTGTATGTCTTCAGAAAAAGGGTTGGCAGGACACCTGCCATTTTCCCTATGTATAGCTCTATTCCTGTGTGGCCAATGAATGCCATCTTTCCTCAGTTTAGCCTTTACCCAACACAGTGAAACCTGATTCTGCATGAGCCTGGTGAACTCCAGGAGCTCCATCCTGAAGATACTGCTCCACTGCAAAGTTCCCTAAGCCCCCAGCCAAGTGACCCCAATGTACCCTGACACTTTTGCTAAGTAGCTTCAGGATCATCACTGGTGACAAATCTGGATCTATATCAACCTGGTAAACAGCACTCACTCCACTCTGAAGAATCCCTAAAACCCTGCCTCACTCAATCTATGTACATATGAGGCACTTTAAGTGGCTGAGTCTTACAGGCAACCGGAAGACAGTGGCAGGTTTCAGAATGACTTGGACCTTTTGCTGATATACCCCAGGCGTAGTATTGGTGAAAGCTGACCTCAGTTTGCACCATGGCCTCTCCCACCTGCATCTAGGCCTCTCACAGGCAGCTATCAACTTCAGGCTGCTTTGTATCTTCTAATAGGTAGTCACAGGCAACATTTGGCATTGACCTGAACCACAGCCTCCCTCCACCAGGAGGCCCAATAACTATACACATGGTGACCAGCTTCAGACCACTACAAAATACAACCTGATTAGCCCCCAAAGAGGCACAGTTAAAGGCTAATCTCAGCAGGCAACAAACACAATGGGGGCAAATCTTGCTCCATGGGGTCAGCTCTCACACAGCAGCTCATACACTGTGGTCATGGCCAATCCTCAAAGCCAGTAAGCCTGAGGGTCAATCCCACCCATGGAGGTGCCAACAGAAGTCAAGACTAAAATACAACAAAAGGGTACACAAAATCAACACAAGGACACCCCTGGAGCATCCAGCTCACATGATTAGAAAGACTGCACAACTTGGCTCCATGGGACACCTACTATATAAGGTCACCCTGCCAAGACTGAAGAAATGTAGCATATCTACCTAGTACATAAAAAAAAAAAAAAAAAAACACAGAGAGAGACAGACAAAATAGGGAGACTTATTTAAAAAAAATGGCCACAATGAATAAAAAGTAGAATTCTCCAAAAAAAAAGAGCCAAAGGATAAGAAGGCAAGAGTTCAAAACCAGAAAGAGTTCAAAACACTGGTTATAAGGATACTCAAGAAAGTCAGTGAGAACTTCAACAAAGACAAAGTAAGCTAAAGAATGATGTAAAATAATTAAAAAAAAAAACAGTCAGAAATGGATAATGCAATAAGTGAAATAAATAATGCACTAGAAGAAATCAACAGCAAATTTGATAAAGCAGAAAATCAAATCAGCGATTTAGAAAACTAGGTAGCAAAAAAACACCCAATTTGAACAGTAGAAAAAAAAAATTAAAAAAATGAGGATAGTTTAAGGAACCTCCACGACAATATCCAACATAAAATTATTTGCATCATAGAATACCAGAAAAAAAAAAGAGCAAGGAGTTGAGAATCTGTTTTAAGGAATGACTAAAAATATCTATAACCTGGTAAAGGAAATAGACATACAAGTCTGGGAAGCAAAAAAGATAAACCCAAAGAGGCTCACAGAAAGACACATTATTAAGGTAATTATTAAGACATATTAGAAAGGTAAACATTAGAAGACAAAGAATATTAAAAGGAAGCAAGAGAAAAACAGTTAGTTACCTATAAGAAAGCTTCCATAATACTGTCAGCTTATTTCTTTTTTTTTTTTTTTGGTCTCAAAATTGCTTTTTATCTTTTTTTATATTATTGCTTGAACATCAGGCTTGACACAGAATAATCAGTGGCTTTTTGTTCTACATAATTAAGCATAATTGTTTTAATTACATTTTTCTCTTATTGACTTAGAGCAAACCTTTGAAACTTTAAAATAAGTTTTATACAGAACTTTTTTATTGCTTACCCATTTATTTTTTTCTTTTTTAAAAAATTACTTATTTTTGTTACAGATGTTTCTCCTTTTCCCCTCACTGATATTCCCCATCCCCCTCCCCACCCTGTCCCCAGCTTTGTTGTCCATGTCCATTGTTCATGCATACATGCATATAAGTCCTGTGGTTCATCTACTTCACACCACCCTCTCTTCTGGAGATTGTCAGTACCCCACTTCTACATCTCTGGGACTACCCCATTCCTCAGACTGTTATGTTCATTATATTCCACAAATAAGTGAGATCATATGATACCTGTCTTTCTCTTTTGGCTTGTTTCACTTAGGATAATACTTTTCAGGTCCCCCCATGTCGTCTCAAACGATAAGAGATCTTTCTTACAGCTGCATAGTACTACATTGTGTATATGTACCTCAGCTGTTTTACCCATTTGTCTACTGATGGACACTTGGGCTGTTTCCAGATCTTAGCTATTGTAAATAGTGTTGCTACGAGCATGGGAGTACATATATATTTTTCTGATTGGTGTTTCAAGATTCTTAGAGTACATTCCTAAAAGTGGGATCAGTGGGTCAAATAGAGATTCAATTTT